AATAGACAATAAACGCAAAGCATTCACAGCCATTATCATTTCTCCTCCGCCCCTTGCATTTTTATGTTTGTTCTTCAATGAAACAGTCCACAACTTTCACAGCATTTAAAAATAATAAATCAAAAGTCAATTTAAATCGACTTTTAAGACAATTGTGTTTTAAATATCATTACGTTATTATTGTAAAACTTATTGTTAATATATGCACTTTAATAATTATCAATATCCTACTCCAAGCAAAGTCCAATTCTTAAGCAGTATTGTCATATTTTTCTCCTAGTTTTGAGCTAAGCGTATTCAACATTTTCTGGCAAACATCTAGGTTTAAAATTATGCACAAAGTCAGCCTTAAACGGGTGTAAATTTTGAATAAAATTCTAACGATTTCAAGTGCGACCACACATGGTGCTTTCTGATCAGGGAAAAAAAAAAAAAAAAAAAAGTGTGGAGGAAGAAGAGTGACCTTTATCTCATTTGTATCTACTTCTCCTGAAAAAGGATGATCTATGTTTTATCATCCTCGAAACTGATAAAGCTTCATTCAAAATGTATGCAAATCTATGGCTACTTTTTTTTGTTTAACTTTAAATTTTGTATTAGCGCGTTTCTTTTCCAGTTAGATTAAACCTCTAGGTGCTCATTATTTATTTGTTTCTGTGGGCTTCAAAATTCAGACTTTCTAAATGAAAATCATCAGGTAAGAAATCCGCAAAAAAGAACGCTGCGATAAAATATTATGTATTAATCTAAACAAGACATTTATTCTTAACGAAATTGTTATTTTAATTTTTCAGATGCAATAAAGAATTTATGCACAATATAGTTAGTGGAAATAGTAAAATATTTTCTAAATTAATTCATGTGAAAATCGATAGATTAAAAAAAAGGTGTGGAGGGAGAAGAGTGACCTTTATCTCATCTGTATCTACTTCTCCTGAAAAAGGATGATCTATGTTTGATCATCCTCGAAATTGATTAAGCTGATCTGCAAAATTTAGAACTGATTTTTTTTTTAGCCATTCTCAACAGATTTGCCAAACAAAAGCTAGTGGCAATGACAGTACAAATGCATCTCATCTTGCAGTTTTATAAATATATTCTGCTCCTAAGGAAAGTTTAAATATGTTATTAGTTTACACTTTACTCTACTTGGACTCCGGATTTCAACCTGTAGATAATTTTTCATTTCTTAAACAGTGAAAAAAAAAAAAACAATGAAACAGTGAAAATTGCCACATGAACTTCCAATCTAAGAACCATTCAAAGGTTCCTCAAAGATGTAAGAAGAGAATAAAACAATGTTTCAGGTATCGAGTTCCACAAAGGCATCCCAAAGCTCAATAAAAGTGCCCAAAGATGTTTAGGCATTAGAAAGAATTTAACCAGAAGATTAAAATAACGTTTTTTTTTTTTTTTTCTTTCAAACTTCGATTTTTATGAAGTCATTTCTAAAATTTTATAGACGCGTTGGTCATTACTAGTATATTACTTATTCAAAATAGGTTCTATATAATCCTTATAGTTAGTTACCTTCCATTAAATAAAAGTTTTGCTTTACGTTATGTTAGAATTTTTTATTATTTTTCTTAGTTTTTAATTTCTTTTCTTTAATTAACTTTATCACCATTATTACTACTGAGCTTGAACTTTTTATCATTTACCTACTTTTTAATACTTTTCCTTTTTGAATACGAAACAGTAATAACAAATCCATATTATATTTTGAAAGAAAATGCTAAAAATTATTGTGCAGTACAGTATTTATTTTCTGAGCAAATGACCATTCAAACTCGTTAAAATGTTCGATCGGATGCTGATGATGCTCGATATTACGAGAAATTCTTGAAAAAGTGTTTATTTGCAGAGCACAAAATTCTTCGAAATCTTGCGATCACTCCCTATGTATTCCTTCACGTTGAAGATTTAAAGGGACCTGCTGCTATTTTTTTTAACAAATTCCCGTAAGCTATTTGCTGACAGATCAGCTGCTTGAGCAATGCTCACATCCATAGTAAACTTCCGACCAATGAAAAGCGACAACGCGTTCAATGCCGACTTTATGGCAATCATGACTGCAGAATTGGCTTAGTTATCGCGCTTTTGGAGATATTTCTTAATACTAACAAATACGGCATAAGTTATTTCCCCACCACCACCACCACCAATCAACTTGTAGCACAGTAAAGAAAAATTTTAACTGGTTCTCTGATTTTACGAAATAGATAATAATTTTTCTGTTTCTGACAATAAACAAATTTTTTAAATTATTAGTACGAAAGAAACCAAATTAATTCTTTTTAAGCTATGAAAAATCTGCTAGATTAAATTTATTTTAAAATAAAATAATGATTAATTTCTAATTATGTGACATGTGGCTACTGTTTTACTGCAAGTCAGGCTCAATGATCAATGAGAATACTATAGAAATTTGAAACGGACAGCAAGTTATAATAATGAAAATATTTATTAACTGCAATGATACCAATAAAAGTACAGTTTATTGATTATAAAGTAATGATTATTTTATTATTAAATTAGTTTTGAATATTAATATTCGACAGAAGCTATTTTTAAAATAATATTATGATAATAATTGAATATAAAGCAGAAATAACTACAAAAGTAATGCAGCAGTTATGAAGATTTTTCATTGCATTAAAAAAGTTTTAAGCTGAAATTATATTTCAAATTTAATAAAAATTATAAATTTTAAACAAGATGGTTTAATTGAAAATAAAAGAATGCTATTTTCTATACACGGACCATTTAGAGCAAATTCCAACCTTTAAAATAAATAAAACAAATAATATAAAAATTTAAAAAATAAATAATCATAAACTGAGAAACTGAAACAGTTTTGTTTATTTGATTACATCAAAGCATACGAGGGCTATTTGCCTAAGGGAAGGGATGCCTTCGGGGATGAATTTTTAAGCGCGACCCGCTCGTATTCACGTCACAACATAAGGAAAAACATGAAAATGCGCATCCAGCCAGCCTGTTTACCTGGAATCGAATCTAGGTCGAACTACCAACGTTTAGCGACTTTACTGCTCGGACCCGGTATAGTGGTTAGCGTCGCTGACTGCCGTGCTGAAGGACACGGGTTCGAATCCCGGAGAAGGCATGGATGTTTATAAATGTATAGTGTCGCTGTTGCATGGCGGCACTCTAAATATGCGGGAAGCCGAAAGCCCTCTCGTGTGGTTTGGTGGAAGGGAAGAGGGGTGGGAGACATTCGGACCCGTTTTCCCGGGGTGCTCTGCATCAAAATTGGAGGCGGAAGAGCAAAATTGCATTCTGTCAGACAAGTGAGCATAACACTGCTCGGCCGCTGGTGAGTTTGGAGATAAGATATGTCGGACGAATGAGGTACTATTAAAGCTCTTGTTTAAATATTGTTAAAATTTTATTCCATTCAAATTAATTCTTTATTGTTCCAATATTGTAAATCTAAACAAATGATATTTTTTCATTCCTTCCTGAAGCAATTGCATTTTATGTTATTATATTTAAAAATAAAGCTTCCCTCGTTTTAAGAACGAACAGTGTTTGTATGACACTTTCGCAATCTGGAAGAATAATATGATAAATATACAGCTAATATAAATAAAGATACTACATACAACATGTAGTTTCACTTCAAAAATTCGGAAAACAAAATGCACACCAGAAGGGTTAAAAGTGGTAACAGAGATGATGGGGCTTTAAATAAAACTTCAGAGATTCGCTGACCTGAGACATGGATATAGAAGAAAAAGAACCACTATCATATGTTAATATCTCAACATCATCCTTTGTGATGCAAGCAACTAATTGCAACTGCTTGCATCCGCTGCCAAAATTGAAGTTTATAGTCTTTGGGCTTGTGAAAGAGTATAATTACATGACTTATACATTGTTTCCATAGTCTAATTTTCCTCGGACAATCAAAATAATCCTACATTTGCGTGTTCTTCTCCAACTAAAGTTGCACTTTTCTTCAGTGATTGCATAAGGTAAAAAGGAAATACTATTTTCGCATTTTGTTTACATGTGCAAATTTAAACTATTTAATCAAATTCCTTTCTTTTAAAGGGAAAAGGACTAAAAACAAATTTTTCTTATAATGCATTAAACAAACTTTTATAAAAGGGTCCCACCAACGGCTGAGCGGTAAATTCGCTGAACACTGGTAGTTCTATCCGAGGTTCGAATCCCGTGAACGGGCTGACTGCACGGGCGCTTTCGTGGCTTTCCCCATGTGTAACGCGTATACGAGCCAGTCTCCCTCAGAAAATCTTCCACGGAGACATCCCTCCCGATATGCAGATAATTCTCAAGGCTGTGCAGTAATCAAATAAACCAAACGAAACCAAACTTAATGACTACTACCTGTGCGCTTTGTAATTTTATTTTATGATCTGAAGTTGTAATTCAGCAAACAAACAAACAAAGGTATCAGTTGAATTTATGGACGAAAAAATCTATAACTGAGTAGTTTCTCGAAATGTCGGTCGTAGCCCATAAAAGAGTGCCGAGACTATGTTTAATGGGCTAGGAAAAGATTTTTCCGAGTACAATATGAATAATTTTAATTGTTATTAATACACTGATTGACTATTTTAATAATTATATATGTATATAAGTAGTATTTTCTATATATATATTTAATAAACATTCTCTATTCTAAAAAGCAAATTTAAAGTCAATTAAAATATATATAAATTATTATCTTATTTTACACTATTGTTATATTATTTTACCAAGACTTCCTTTTTTCTTCGCTGTTTTTTTCCTTTACTCCAAAGCAACTATATGCAGGTGGGTCGCTATAATTGCAGCTGTATGTATAAGAGTCGCGAGGTAAAAGTTTGAGAAGCACTGATCTGCATAATCCGCCGAATAGTTTCCGCATACAGTCATATTTGGCGACGGACAGAGTCTTTTATCGCCAAATCTGTTGCTCCTTAATATCAACTAAACCAAATAAATCCCCCTCCCATCTCAAAGGGGGAAACTTGCGAACAGCCCTCCCTGTCCCGAACAAAACGGAAGCAACAACCTGAGTTCCACCAGTCAGTCACGACTGCAGCAACAGGGTGAAAGGTGATCCGAGGAGGAAAATTAAATTTCTCCCGGAATTTATAAAACTGTTATGGACTCTTCGCTGTTGTGGTGTGGTGAGATGGTATGCCCGGTGGCCCAAGGGGATCCTGTTCTAAACGGGGATCCACGGGTTCTTCAGCAGCTAATAAAAGTGGAAAGGATGGACGGAAAACGCTTCAGGTTCATCAACAGCCGGTGTTATTTCAAAGAAGTCCAAGATGAAGTTCAGCCACACATGAGGAGGATACTCACGAAATGGATGATGGAGGTAGGCTGTACTTCTGCTGTTATTTTATTTCTTATGATTCTTAAAACTCGTCCTGTCGATAATATTTAAGTAGGATTTTATACGTTCGAATATTTTATAATAATGCATTTTATCTATCTATATATTGATTAAGAAATTGTGGCGTTATAATTAGATAAGTTTTTTTAATAATTATTATCGTTATTATTAATAATATTTAGTAAATAATACATAAATTGTTTTTACTTAAAGTATTTGGAAAACATCCTATGCATGTGGAAATTTCGATAGTAATCTGATAAGATTTTAACAAATTTAATTGAAAGGTGATATTACTTATATTACGTTAAATTAATAAAATGCCGTTTTAAAATTTATTTTGAGTTCTTTATAGTTTTGAGTTAATAAGGGTGGAAAAAATACATAACTTTTTAGTGTGTATATATGTAAAGATTCAAATGTAAAAATTAAAATGTGATGATTTTATGAGTCGATAAAGAATTGTGCTGCGAATAAGTATGAGGAACTATGTTTCTCGCTCTTTTATGAGTTCTTTTACTCACATTCATTCGGAGTTTCATCCTCCATCGTTCCATATCTTCATCACATTTTAATTTTTATGCTTGATCTTTCAATCTGTCATTTACCTTATTCCAACTTTCAGCAGTTGCACAGAAAATGCATTTACCAATTTGACAGCTGATGAGTATTTATTTTATTAAATATGATGACAAAATAAAACATTAATTTGATGATTCAGTTAAATCTAAAGTTTACGAATTCAGATTTAATTATTTCGTACTGAACGCATTCAATCTCGCTTGTGATGAACAAAAGTGTACCAATAATGTTTTACGAATCATCTGATGAAATGGAAAACATGAGGTGCCCGTTTTTGTTACTATTTGAAGACGCTTCATATTTTCAAAAATTTAAAATATCATTACAGATTAAAATTATAATAGCCGTATACATATCGTGTATGTATGTGCTATTAAAGTCTTTCGCAATAAAATTATAAGGTATTTGTTCCTTCTTTTCCTATGCCTTCGTGGTGTATTTGGAAGCATACTCTTCGCGTATTCGAGAGTTGAAGGGTTCAAGTCCCAGCGAGGGCAGTGCACATTTATCATGTCTTCTACAAAATAATAGATAAGTATGGATTCATTAGGTAATACAATTTCGTATGGTACAAATAATAATCCTGAAAATTTTAAATATACCAGGTGTTTCTAAAGTATGGATTTCTATTTCGAGCACAGCCCATGGACTTGAATCTTTATCCTGTTTTGCTTTCGACATAATCAGAAATGATACGCATCCTACCATTTTCATACACCTGTAAAAGGTAAAATACTCAACTTCAGTCCTTTACACAAAGTTCTCTCCGAAGTTGAGACGACAGAAAAATAAGAATAGTGCACAAAAGGAAATAAAGCGTAACTGAGAAAAGGTTTAAGGGGGGCGCAATTTTAAGTTCTGTCTTCAAGTATTAAAATTCACTATCTTACCTTCGGCTAGCTGTAGGCCCAAATCAGCATTTAAATTAACAAACAAATTATATGCAAATCAAAGTTAATTTATTAGGCTAATAGGGTCACGAAACGCTATTTAACTTTTGTTCACTATAAACAACGTATCACTTTTCAAATATTCGCCACCAGATATTTTCGAGCTGTATTATTTATAATGAAATTAAATAACCAAGAATTTGCATGCAATCATGTTCCTGGTATTGTGAAAAAATGACAGTTCCTACAGCCATCAAATTTTTCATTATGTAGACCACTATCTGGGAGCCCGAATTTTTAATTTCTAATTTGTTTTATTATTTATTTAATATTTTGTAAAACTTTAATGATTTTTTTATTAATAAACTCGATGATTTGAAAGCAAGCAGTGGCAACACGGTTCGAAATAAAACATTTTTATCTCCAGTAATCGAGACTGTTGCCATTCGAAAAAATGTAAGATTTTTTTTTGAATCTTTCACTTTTTAATAATTAAACTGGGCTCTATGAAAGCAATGTGTTGCTGCAGCTAGAAATAAAATACTTTTATCTTCTACGCACCAGCTTGTTGAAAATCAATAAAGCTAATACTTTCAAATTTAATCAGGAAAATTATTGAGTAATAAGTATTAAAATCATGAGATGTCTAATTAGAAATATTCAATATTTTTATAAAATTACACTTGCTGAACTCATTAAAAATATTGCATACTTTATTCTTTTTATGATAACTAGTTAAAGTGGCCGGACGCACGAACGGCTGGTTTCTAAAGAAATAATATAGCGAGTATACAAACATGCATGGCAACCTCTAACACTCTGTCAAGAATTCTAAAGATATATTGTTTTCAAAGATTTTGGGATTTTGCTCTTGAACTGAATTTTTTGTGGCCTAAGTGCGAAGACGGTGATATTTAATAAATAAAGTTATTACATAAATAATTAATAATAAAAAGACAAAAAAGAAATTTTTTTTGTTAGCCATCTTGCTAAAGAAAACTGAATATGCTGAGTGTGGCGTAAGTGGGAAGAAAAAGATGCTTAATAATAAAGCTTTAAAAAAAAAAAGGATAGCAAGAGTGACTGCAAGAATAGACTAGTAGACTGCGAACTCAGTGAGAGCATGAAGAAACTTAACAAACCCTTTTGGGCAACCGTTCAAATCTCAAACCTTTCAGAAATTTTTTAAACTCCCTTCATTTACAATCTGAGCAGAAAATGGAAGTATGGCACATTGTAGACACTACAAAATCCAGCGTAAGTATTCATCAAAATATGTACAATGACATGCTTTTAGCACTCTTAGTATATAAATAAATAATACTGTAGGGTCGTTATCTATTTTTCCTCATAAACTAAATTACGGTGAACTAAAAACTTACGGTGAAACTAAAAACGTATAAAATAATTCAAGTAAAAAAAATCTAAAGTAAGTAGTGCTGGATAGCACGTAATTTACGCCTAACAGGTTAACTCACAAAAACCTAACAGGCGTGATTATAATCCGAAATGGCCAAGAGATTTACTAGCGTAACAACGAAACGTGCGCTAGCTAGCGAAAACACGCTGTTAATAAACTCAGAGATTCACCTGTTTAAATGCGCACTTCACTTTAAATTTACATCCTGGCGAGAAAATGTGAGGGTAAGTTGAGAAGTTCAGTAAATATAAGGGAAACTCTACAATACAACCAGGATTATTCCCGATCTGATATAGCAACTGAATTTTCAGTTCCCATTTACAATTAACGGATCATGCGATGGCCGCCAAAGGGAGAAACGTTGATTGTCTAAGGATTTCCCTATATTTCAAATCAATTCCTCATCCTGATACTCCTCCTCTGAGCACTTATATTTAGAATCCCATTTACACATTTTTATGATCCTCTGAATGCGAGATTTCTACTTGAATGAATAACTAGGAACTTTTCTGTTGGTGGTTTTATGGTAGTTTTTTGTTTGTGACATAAATAATTAGCTCAAGTGTTTCTGTTTGTGGGGTTAAATTGATTGGCTTAAGTTTATAGTCATTATGAACGGTGTTTTGAGATAATTTTCTGATCACAAATATTTTGATTCGGGAAAATGAAAATATTTAAAGAGGGGAAAAAAAAAAAAAAAAAAAAAAAAACTGAAAGCTTTCAAATTTTATATTACGCCCAAAGGGGCTTTTTAAATGTTTTGTGTGTTATCTTTATTTATTAAATATCATGTTTTTCGTGCTTAAACCATAAAATTCAATTCAATGGCAATATCACAAACTAATTAAAAAGGATCTTTAGAATTTCCGATACACAGTCTTGCGCGCTTTAGATAAAATCTCTCTCTCCCCCCTTTTTTTTTCATACAGTGTTGCCATTACTCGCTTTGAAATCGTCGAGTTCGTTAATCAAAAATTCGTTAAAGTTTTACAGAATATGAAGTAGATAATAAAACAAATTCCAAATTTAGGCTTCCAGATGCCCATGCTCGAGTGGAGAACTACGTTATTCAAAATTTGATGTCTGTAGGTACCGTTGTTCAGTTCACAGTGCGAGAAACATACATACATCCACGCAGATTCTTCATTATTTAATTTCTTTAAATATAATGCAGGGCTGTAATAGTTGGTGGCAACAATCTGAAAAGCGAAACTTCGTTTATAGGGAACCAACACAAAATTCCAAAACGAAATGAATAGCCCTTCTGGGCAAATTGCCTCTTTGGGCTAATCATTTTAATAAAAACAGAGAACATTTTACTTCTTACTTTGGAGGTTCATATAGATGCTAAAAATAATTTATCATAAATAAATCATTTAACTCTTAATTAGACATCTTTATATATGTATTCGTAGTGTGAACAATTTTGTATATTATCTTTTGTTATTTTATACTAAAGATAACAAAATTCCCTGATATTTTGTTTACGTCACTTCTTAATATTTTATTTTGTCATCGTAATAGCAATAAAACTATATTGGAATCTTTGTTACTACAGATCACTGTTGCTAAAAATTGGAATCACCATTGTATATAGATATCCTTAATTACAATGAAAACTATTATTATTTCTATTCTCTTCTTGCAATAAATGCGTTGTGTAGGATACACTAATTAACTAAAAATTATATTTTAAAGCTTGGCAATTCTTCCGTCGTAAATGTTTTTTCGAAATCCTAAATTCATTCTCGTGTGGTTCTTCATTCTTCAAGAATACTTTCCATACTTTCGTGTTTTAACATTTCAGCTAAATCGCTCCAGGGAGGCCAGGGGTTGAGGAAGAAATCTGAATTACAATAAACTATCGATCACAAGCGGTATTCGAACACCTGTTGGGTTGTGATAATTGCCTCTGTATACAAACTACCCTAATTCACTAGAGCATGCGTAAAATACTTTAATCGCAATACTGTGCCAGCATATCGGTACGCTTGACTTCTTTGCTAGATCTGCTCTTTGTAAAAAAAAAAAAAAAAAAAAAAAAAAAAAACTAATAATGATTATGGTATTGATCTAATTTATTTGTTTTTTAATAGAGTGAAAAACCACCACAGCTGTTTACTTTACTTACAGATATTTTGTTTGTCAAAAAAGAATGCCTGTTTTCCGAAGTAAAAGTTTTAAATTTTAGAATTCCATTTTAAATTCCTTTACAAATTGTTGTCATCCACAGCTTCAAAACAAAGAATAATTAAATTAAACATTTTGATATTTTCCAGTGTTTTCAAATACTAAGTTAGCTTTTTAACAGTTATTATAAGCTTTGGAAATAAAAATGCCAGAGGAGCAAAAAAAAAAAAAAAAAAAAAAAAAAAAAAAAATAACCAAAAATTGTGAACCCTTTTCTCAACTTCAAGCGATGGCAATTGTTACAGGTGAAGATATAGGACCAAAGCCCGGATCATCCGGATATTTTCAACAATTTACATCCCAAATATAAATGGTATAGAGAATATAAAACAGTATGGCAACGCTTAACAGTCTGTAAACGGGAACATTGATCATCTGACTGCATCCACGGTACACATCTTTTCTCTTTATCTTTTCTGATACAAGATTACCTACGGTAAATTTATGTTACGCGGATTTATTTCATGGTTTTACCATTCAGATGATGACGCAATATTTACTAAGCACTGCTTTCTAACAGCAGTCTCTCGCTTTAAAAAAATATATATAGTTCGTCATAAATAAAAATTAAAACGTGCGTTCCTTAACAAATGTAATAAATTTTTAGTTAAAAGCAAACATTTATTTAACTATCAAATCTAATTTATTACAATCAAATTTAAATTGTACTGGCATGCAAACTTTAAATCTGTTTAATTGTTAACATAAATATTTTCATGAAATCGTGTTCTAATGAGAAATCTACTACCATTTTTAACCTTGTGTATACAAAAATATAAATCGGATATGAAAGATTTACTGAAATAAGGATGTTAAAGTTTGTATTTTCTCTAGAGTTATTAAATGCTAATCAGCACCTCGTAAACAATTTTTTAAAAGTCACGTTTAAAAATCATTAATTATTTTAGATATTTAGACATTAAAAAAAAAACTTGCAAAGGTGTCTTTTCCACCAAGAATCATAATCGAGGATCTGTCTGCTGCAGTTTGTTGAAGACACTGAAAATTTCCTACTCAAATTCTGCTAATTCTTCAGGGACTGTTAAATTGAATATATTTATTAAAATGCTGTAAAAATTACTTAACAGTATTTAAAAGTTTTGTTATTCATAATCTGCTTGCAAATCAGAAATTCACCTATGGACTTTAATGGTTCTAAACTGAGGTGCGTTTGACGTACCTCAGTTTGGAATCTTTCGCTTTTAACGTGTCCAGTCTAACACAGCATCTACAATGCATAGCCCAAGAAAATCTGCATTACTATTGTGTCTTGTAAAATTGTATTTTCTTCTGAATAAAGAAAAATGTGCATTGAGGTAAAATTTTTTTGTGGACACTGTTCACATTTTTTAAATATCAAACATCTAAATATAGGTTGATAGACATGATAGCGATTGCGAATAAAATTCTTTCTTAAAAGTTTTATTCTTATCTTTCTTTTTGTACCTTCCTCATGAGAAAAATATTGCGCACAAATATACAATATACAAGTTTTTAGAAAGAGAAGACATAGAATGTATAGAAATAGAACGTATAGAGATAGAATGTATAGAAATAGAACGTATAGACATAGAAAAATGTATAGACATAGAATGAAGACATGAATAGATAGTAAGAAAATTTCTCAAAACATTTATAGAAATAAAAAAGCAAAACATTCATAGATTCCTGCCACAGCACACGCATTGATATATTTTCAAAGAATATGTTACTTGGGCATGTGTAATATCACTGCAAATGCGAATCTGTAATCATGTTTTTTAAATACTCAGGCAGAGAGTTTGTTAATTCCGATCTCTTGAAATAGAAAAATGAAACTATATGCAACTTGTCTAAAGGGTTAATTAGCATAATTTGTCAGGAATTTTCTAAAGATATGTAACTGGAATATTTTAGAATCAACTGAGTGTTCAAAAATTTTTTGTCAAAACGTTTAAGTTACTCGATTTTCGAACTATGTTCGTTTTGACATTCTATTCGTATTATTTATTTGATGTTCATGTAGCACTGGAGCTGGCGGTTTGCGACTTCTGGCTAGCTGCGAATTTCAAACAAGTTGTTAACTGCGTGGTGTTTTAAGACTGCGTTTTATTTTCTTTAATTATTTATTTTCAGGCTTCGTGATTTACCATCGGGAATCAGAATTCGAAACTGCAATTTCTATGTAACAGATCGAAATTAGATACAGTATTCGCGATAATCTTACAACAGTTATCAACCGAAGTGGGACATTCTAAATAGAGAACATTAAGAATTGAAATTAGATCTACAGAGGTGAAAATATTAAATATAAGTTCCTTAATTTCCACAGTTTGAAATGAATCATCTCAAAGCCTCCTTGTTACCTATTCGACGAGTTATGCCGACCTAGATTACCTTAGAACTCACCGGTGTGTGTTAACGCTAGTTGGGAAAATAGCTGAATGAAGTTTATTTTGCTCTTCGCTATCAATGGCTTTCCTAATGCTGAACTTGCGACATCAGTTCAGTCAAGTCTGGCTTGGGTTTATTTTTTTATAGTTCCTTCAAGCGCTCGTTTCATATTTAGGTTTTATAATTTATTATCATATAACATACATTACTTTCGGAATTCAGGTCACTTGAAATTATGACGTGGGTCATTCGGTGACCCACGGATCATAGGTTGCCGAGGCCTGGTTTAAGGTATAGCTAAAACATTAAATTTTTCTATGAATTATTTTTAATCAATGAGTTATTTTAACATGCGAAGTTAGGGCATGTAATATTTTGAAATTTTTAAAGCTATAGCATATTTAGTCACATTTCATTTGACATAGGTGTGTGAAGAGCAAGGAGCAGATGACATCGTTTTTCCCCTGGCTGCATCGTATGTGGACAGATTCCTTTCATGTGTCAGAATCAAGAAATCTCAGTTACAACTGTTGGGCGCTGTTTGCTTATTGTTGGCGTCCAAGTTACGGCAATGCAGGTCTTTAACAGTAGATGCTCTTATATATTACACAGACTATTCAGTAACAACGAGGGACATCACGGTTAGTATGCTTGTGAACTTAAAATTTATATCAATGAATTATGTATTTATGATTTCCATACATAAATTTAATGCAGTCAAATTAATAATGTCATCAGAAATGTTCGAGGTCTTAAATTTAGAGAAAAAATAGCTTTTTTGGATTTTTTTTTCTTCTATATGACTGTATGAATTTTGTGTGCAAAGAAATATAAATATTAAAATTTTCAGAAAATTTTCTCTGCAGTTATTTGGTTCTTTCAGTAGGTCCCTTCATAGCCCTACCTCAGTATATAAAAAAAAAGAAGAAGAAGAAGAGATATTTGCGTATTATCGCAACCATTTTGGCGCAATTTGGTAAATTTTAGGGGGGAAAAAAACAGTTACATTTATTGTGAAACATTATATATTATATTACATGTATATTCTACTTTTCATACATATTTATTACAAAACATTAATTAACATTAAAAACATTATTATTTAACTACATACTTATTTCAAAAGACAATCGATAATCCTAAGTTACAAACGGGTTTTTATTTTTGTTGAGGTAGAAATTTCGTAGCGATCGTTTAGAAAAAGAATTCTAAGCATCACTCTTTTAGCGATTTTGCGGTAAAATACTGTATTCCTGCAGAAATTTCACCTTGAAAAATTTTAAAATCGAGTTTAAGACGAAAATTAATCATAATTTTTCTATAAAAATCGCTAGAATTTGGAATACAACCGCAACAACTGCAACAAAAGCATACTAAAATGTCAATGTTGGAAACTGGATATTTGTCACGCGCGTGGTTGCTCGAACAATTGTTAACAGCATGGTTATCAGAGTTGTGTGTATTCTGAAGCTTTGGCAATTTTTACTAAGGTGGTTGCAATAATACGTAAGTACCAAAAACATTTATATGATTCTAACCGTCGAAAGAATGCCATATCACATAGAGTTTAACTATTTATACAAACTATAGATATAATAAAACAGCTTTCAGTAACCTGAACAGAACTGAATGTGCAGTCCATATCTGTGCTCGATTTTTCTTTGGCAGCAAAAATTTAAATAATTAATATTCGTATAAAATAATAAATGTGTTATACACTGCTTATAATTAGCATCGCTTACTCTTGACTTACATTGCTCCGTAATTCCTAAACAGCATTACGTTTAATTCATTTTAACGTACTTAATGAATTTATTTTTTAAATTCCTGACTTGTCGTGTGAGCGATTTTGGCAATTTAGAAATAATACGTACATTTAACTATACTGCTGAAGTAAAACGTTTATGTAAAGCCTTGAATGCCCCCTTTCCCCATTTTAATGCATTAGTTGATTTGTTTGTGGCAAGGAATATGAGAAATGTTTCTCATAAATTATTTTCCAAATTGGTTCATATTAATATTACTCTCTCAGAAAACTTTCGAAATTCCTATGTAGCCAGAATATCTCACCAGAAATATCGGCCATTATTACTTCATCTATATGTTATTAATTATAAACAAAGAGTTGTAAAATCATGAAACAGCAAGAACCTTACAAGTGCCCAAATTATATAGTGGAATGCAGAGCAGCTCTATGTTTCTCTTCTGTCCTCTCGGGCAGATGCTTTGCCAAGTCATGGCTTAATACTTGGTTATCTTAGTTTAATTAAACACCTACATCAATTCATACTGATGAAGTTCAACAGAAATATTCTAAAATGGCTCTGTTCAGGTAAGCTCTCTTTTGCCAAAAATTGTGGGTTTCTTTATGATAAATAACAATAAGAATTTTCACCTAGCTTTTTTTAAAATTTCTCTAATAGCTTTTTCTCTTTTTTTTTTTTTTTGTCTTCTCCAAATTTAGACATGGGAATTATTGGTGCTGAACAGCTTGAAATGGGACATGGCTTCAGTCACTGCCAGTGATTTTGTTGATCCACTACTGTCTAGGTTAGATGTCGAGAGAGAAGATCTGGTCAGGAGGCATTCCCATACTTTCATCGCACTTTGTGCAACAGGTCAGTTTCGTTTCTACTTTTATTAAAAATATTTTTGCTCTAGTGAAATACTAAATCATATACAGCCAGAGTATCGCTTTTTTTTTTTTTTTTTTGGTTTGTTCCATCAAGTTTTAACACAAATTAAAAAAATCATGTAAGCATGTGGAGGTATTATACATATATATTACAAAATGAGCAAAATAATGGAAAAAAAAAAGGAAACCGAAAAAATTTATTTAATAAAATTAAATTTAACATGCAGTAAAATAGTTGCATAAGCAGACAAAGTAATGTTGTAAAATCCAGGTAAATTTTAAAATCCCTTATTTTTTTTTGGGGGGGGGGAGATGAAATTATACAAATCTATTTTTTGATAAAGATAATTTTAAAAATCAATTAATAAAATGAATACATTCCTATATTGCAATTGAACTTCCCCACATTCTGCATGAAAATGGCATATTTGTTTCCTTCAAAGATTCTGATAAAATTAAAAGCACTGAAAAATCGCTTAAGTATAATCCATTTAATGCTGTGACTTTCATATCAAATTATTTTTTAAATTTGTCGAATTCTGATAAGCAGACAAATAAATATCCACAGATCTGAATTCCTTTTAAAATTTATAAGATAAAAATAATTTGTACTCAAAAACAATGCTTGATATTTCTATAGTTTTGCTAGGATTCGAGAGACAATAGATTTAAGTTTTCAAGAGTACTTAAAGGAATGTAATTTTATATTGGAATAACATGAACCCATCGCAGATATTTTGAATGATGCCGTAAGCAGGCTGTACTATCTCTTCACAGATGCCTTGTGTTTGAATATAGCTGGCTAGCTTTTACCTCTATAAGTATGCTAAACAACTCTTCACGACCATTAACAGCGTGTGCACCCGAAATGTTTCAAGTGGACCCACAGCTGCATGCAATGTTTAAAACTCCAATCTCAGCGTTCCCGACACCGTGTGCAGTATTGTGACTAAATGCATCTGCTTGATAAAATGTGATGTCATTTTTTTCACTGTGACTATCACCTGGTCTGTCCTTCAGGGGGGTTTTATGCACCCTGTTGTGGATTGAACAATAAGGCACGCGCGGCGCTGGGGCCACAGTGAAAGATAAACACAATACCGCCGTGCAGAGGCTTTTGGTATATCGAGTTTCGCGGGTTAAACTAATCCAGCGCGCCAAAAATGATGAATGAAAATAAGCAGTTACTTATCTTAAGCAGTGCAAAAGCTGGAGCCTTATCCGTTCTGCCAATACATTATAGTGCATAATTTGGGACAAAACAGTGCTCTTTATATATATATATATATATATATTCAAAGCTATTCAGCTTTTAAATGAACTTATAATGGCATTAGTGGTTAAGATTATATATAAACTACGTTTAGTTAGTATTAAACAGTTATTACCATAGCATTGTCATCTCTGTTAATTTCAAAACTGCATTGAAAATACCAGAGCAATATATCCTTTTAAGTTTTTAGAATCATTTTTATACAATGATTTTCTGATTTAGTTTGAATTTCCTTTTTAATTACGGCTGCAGTTACTACCTGTGAGTGGATATATTAAAACTCACTCATCTTGTTACTTTGAAAGGTTAATGCAGCAATTTGCATGCATTATTTAAAAATGCTGTTACAAAAATACAGCAGTTTTATTAAATTTAATATGATGTTTGTTATCTGAAATTTTTCATTATAGGCTATGGAATTTTTTTTACTCTGAATTAATAATGGCGTTCAAAACATAAATCACTGGCAATTAATGCATCAGTAGAATTGTATAATATGACCAAGGTGTAATGATAAGTTGCGTAATGATTAATTAATACACTAGTTTTAAGGGTGTTAACATATGCAGGTGAGAGTATAGAGAAAATAGAAATAGATAACAATTTTTTAAGTACTTTTAGCCTTAACAAATTTAAAATTTTGTGCGTTTTAATACAAGTCATCTGTGAAATGTCTACAAGACAATTAAATGCGGGCTAAAAAAGTTAAATGACTTTTTCCACCCGTTTTATATGAGATGTGTAATCTACAGTAAATATGCTACTCGTTGCATGATAATTAAAATGGGGGAAATCAGAGCAGAAATAAATGAACCCAAAATTGTTTAAAAGGATAAGAAGAGTAACTCATTTAATAAAAAACAATTTATTTCTTGCAAATATCTAATTTAGTAAGCAAGACTGTTCAACAGTCGCCCCGCCTCCCATTATTTTCTTTCACTATATATTTCTCTTTTTGTTGTGCAAAGCTGATCCCTCCTCCTTCTCGGCTGGATGCACCGTTATCAGCACTAAAACCGTTAAGGCGGCAGCTTAATGAAACTGAAAAGTGACCATGAACCCGACGGACGGTGCCACCAAGGGCATCTGTTTGTCAAAATTAAAAGTTCTCCCACAAGGGGTGGTAGAACGAAGAAGCCATCGCCTTCCGTTCCAATTAAATTGTTCTTTGTCCTCCACTCTCGCTGCATCTTCGTTAGGCAGAATCTACCAATTTCCCAAAGAAGATGAGACCAAGCGTGCAATCTCACCTGTTTGGGGACTCCCTCGTCTGGTGTAGCTTCTTTTAGTTTTTTTCATCACCTGCTCTCGCTTGCTGAATTTCCGCTACACGCCATAAGATTACGTGTTGAAGCCGCTAAGATGGGAAGCTGAAAGAAATCAAAAATCAAAACACGCACCTGCATTTAAATAATTAGGTTTAATTGATGCGCTTAGTGCGTCAACGGGTTGGCTGAATGGTGAATTGGTCTTGAGCTCTTTACCTAGAAACGAATCGGATGCGTCCATGACTAGTTTACTGCGTAAACGTAAGCTGTTAATCAAGTAATCTTTTAATCTCAGGAGATGTCGTCCATAAAATACGCCATTTAATCGCTAAAGCGTCATCCTTCTCGCCAATTACTACTGAGACTGCAAGGGAATTAAAAGGTCTTGCTATGATCAGGGCTGGCTCAACCATTAAGCAAAATAGGCACCTGCTTAGGGCATCAAGGAAAGGGGCACCAGAAAAGATCATATGAATTCAAAGTGTGCACTACAAAATATTTCCATTTATTTTACCACGGAATGATGCAACTAAACAAAGATCGAGAAAGAAGAAAAAAAGGTAAATGTATGTCGGGGGGGGGAGGGTGCAAAAGTATTGTAAGTGCTTTAAAAGTCTTAATCCAGTCCTGGTTATGGTATACAACATATATATATATATATATGTATATTTCATTATTCTATGGAGCTTCTTGCGCTGAAATATTAGTGAAAGCAGCATAGCTTGTTTATCCTTGCAATGCTTGAAAATGTATGTTCCACTTATGGGCGATTTAAAAGAGTACGGACACGGGGCGAATACGAATCTAGCTTTTGTCATAACGCAAAAATTTCATTACTTTTTGAAGACCATTTTGTTTAATAACAGTTATTTCTTCCATTTAAATTATAAAGTATTTTCTCCCCCTTTTACGCATGCTTTCGTGGCGTAACAGTAGCAGACTCGGTTCGTATTCGAGAGGTCTACACCCGAAGCTGTGTCCGGGATTAAAAATTGTCCAGGAATGCTTGTCTGTCCTTCCAAATGAGAGTGATTTGCTGTCTAATTAAACAGTTTCACCACTTAATACATTAATTACGGTAGAAAGAATATTTTTCGATAGCGAACAACATTTGCAACATCGAGACATTTGTTTTCATTATCAGAAGGAGGTCATTGCAGGTGTCGAATGTAAAGGAACTTTCAAACTTGAAAGTGAATCCTAAATATTCATTTTTATCTATGAACACATAAAACCCATCAAAGAGTTTCTTTAAAAAAAATTAATGATAAAATATGAAAGACACAAGAATAACAGACATTCACATCATCTTCAGAGTAGACATGCTTTTGCAAAAAGTTTCAATAACTTGGACATTTTGCTATCTTTTCTGTATGATTCCCTTTATTCCTCCATATCAGCTTTTATCTGTCATTCAAACTTCGATAACGTATATGTAATAGGCTTTCGAATCACTAAAATTAATTTTTTATGAACTGTCCTAGACATGACATTCACAGGAAATTTTCGAGCAAAGGGAGTTAGATTGGAGACAAATAGGAATATAAGACTTTATTTTAAAGGAGTTAATTAGAGAAGAATACGTTTATATCTACAAAAATAAAAATTATTTTTTAAAGGTTTTATTTTAATTTTTAGAGAAAAAAAAATATTTTTTGTAATACGTGTAGTAAAGAAGGAGGAAATCAAATAAAATAGAATAATGTCTTCTAATGAAATAATTCAGTTAACTTTCTTATAGTAATTTTTAAGAGTAATTTAATTACAACGAGAAGTTACATTGCTATAGCTAATATGTTTTCCTTTAGTCAGAGGGAGCAGAGCTAAATTTAATGAATTCTAACCTTGTAGTAATATTTTCTGAACACTTATCTCTGATTAATTTACTTTCAAATGTAATTACGTGGCACTCAGTCTAAATATGGTATCGCTAAATAACACACTTCGATAACAAAACTATAGAGTTAACATTCTGTTTCAAGCAAGAGATATTGAAAAATCCCTTATGGCTTTGCTGCAAATCAAACCGAGAACTTCCAGCTCCTACTAGGATGTATTTACCACTACACCACAAGGACGCGTAATGGAGTTATCATATCTAACGGTGCATGATGTTAGGAAAATATTTCCGGAGAAGCGAGCTTCTCCTCCTACCATTGGAGGGTTCCTAGCCGAAATACTTTCGCTGGAACCGATGTTACATCTAGCTATGCAGAGCATATTCAGTTGAGATGAAAAGCTTTCCATTTAAATCTTTGTTCCTCTTGGGTTTTTCTCAGGGAACTGGTTTTTGTGTATTATAAAGTATTTTCTCCCCCTTTTACGCATCACATATCCCAAAAGCGAAAATTCTCGGAAATGTTTCTTTCGACACGGTGTTGATGGTAAGAGTAGCTATGATACGGGTTTTAGACCAAAGACCAAGGCGTTTTGGTTGCGGAA